TTCAACATGCTATACACAATATTAGCTGGACAAGCAACCTGCTTCAGGAAGCTTATACAGTCCCAAATCCGGCACTCCGGCCCAACCAACAAGGCCGAGCTGGTCCGGACCCAAAAGGCCGCATTCCAGGCCCTCGCCCTGGCCATCAACAAGGCCATTGGCAGGGCGACGGTGTCTGCGGATGAGCGGCGGAAGCTGGAGCGGCTGCTTCACCGTACCCAGCGCCAGTTCCTCAAGGCGCAGCTGGAGCTCCTCCAGAACACCCAGGAGGGAGCCAACCGGCAGCAGGCCCTCCGGCGCCTGGATGAGGAGGCCGACAACGATGCCCAGGTGCCGGAGGAGGAGGAGCTGGCGCTGGAGGAGGAGGAGCCGGAGGAGGAGGAGCCGGCGCAGCAGTGGCCGGAGGAGGAGGAGCCGGCGCAGCAGTGGCCGGAGGAGGAGCTGGAGGAGGAGGACGAAGTGATGCTCGTGGAGGATGCCGTCGACGTCATCGTCATTGACGACGATGAGGATGAGGAGCAGCAGGCCAGGGAACTGGAGCGGCAGCGACAGGAGCAGCAGCAGGAGCACGAGCAGCAGGAGGCGGCGGCCAGGGATCTGGAGCGGCAGCGGGTGGCCGTGTTCGAGGCGCAGGGGACCGGCTGGGCAGAGCTGGTCTCCCCGCGCGTCGAGCCGGCGGAGGAGGCCTCCACGGCACGGAGGGCTCGACACTTGTGCCCCATTTGCCGTGGGTCCTACCAATCGGTGGCGCAGCTCGACCGCCACGCGGCGACGTGCCGAGCCGGGAACTACAAGTTCCGGTGTGAGTGTGGCCGCCTGACCCGGACCAGTGCCCAAATGGCCGGGCACAGGCGTACCTGCGATTTTTAAAAATAAAAAAAACAAACTGAAAACATACATGAACATCTTTCTTTCAAAACAAAAAAAGCTCCCAACAACTGGAAACAAAACAAAATGGCGACGGACTGCAATTTTTAAATTTTTCTCCAGCTGTTTTTAGGACTGTCAGGTGGCCAACGCCACATTTCGTTTTCTTCAGAATCTTAACTTTAGAACCAAGAATTAAAAAGTATTAAGTAAGTTTTAAAAAAAGCCATATAATTAAATAGAAAGTACGAAGCAAATATTAATAGTTACTTTAAAATAATTACCTTGAACTAACTTTATATTTTTACAGGGTATTAAACTGCCGACCTGGCCTTGTAAAGCCGGCACTTTTAGATAATGGCCATGATTTTCACGAGGAAAACGCTAAAGCTGCTCAATTACCGCCTGAAATGCCTGACTCTAGCCAGTTCCGGTGGAAAGAGAAGGATCCAGATTCAGCAATGGGTAAGTATGTGCCCTCCACTAAGTGAGCTCCATTGGTAAAAACCCTTGTTCCCCCGCAGACGTAACATGACCTTCAGTTCCGGCCGCCTGGCGAGATTCGCCAATGGAACGGCCGTCTGCCAGATGGGCGACACCGCCGTCATGGTCACGGCGGTGGCCAAGGCGAAGCCCAATCCTGGCCAGGGATTCATGCCGCTGGTGGTGGACTACCGGCTGAAGAACGCCGCCTCCGGGCGGATACCCATGAACTTTATGCGCCGCGAACTGGGTCCCTCGGAGAAGGAGATCCTCTTGGCCCGCCTGATAGACCGCTCGCTGCGCCCGCTCTTCCACAAGGACTACCGCACGGAGACGCAGCTAGTGTGCAACATGCTGGCCATGGACGCGGTGCACAGCCCCGATGTGCTGGCCATCAATGCCGCCTCCATGGCGCTGTCCTTGAGTGATATTCCCTGGAACGGACCCATCGGAGCAGTGTGGTAAGTGGTTTATTGAATAGAATCCTGGTTTATTCCAAGGAAAAACATCCTAATTAACCCCCAATCTCCTCTAGAGTTGGCCTCTGCGACGGCGAGGTGCTGATCAACCCCACGCGCCGCGAGCTGCAGTCCTCGCAACTCGATCTCGTGGTCTCGGCCACCAAACAGAACCTGGTGGTCATGCTGGAGGGCCGGGGTAACGTGGTGCTGCAGCAGGGATTCGCCTGGGGCCGCAGGTCCTCCACGTCGCCGCCAAAGATGGACTGTTTGGTTAGAGATTAGAGATTAGTTGGATGGTTTGTAAATACAAAACAGCTGCTCACTTTTATGACCTCCAGTTCCTGGGTTTGCCGCTTCCGGAAGGATTCCTTGGTGGCCATTTCCTCTGCCATTTGTTCGTAGAATCTCAGTTGAAGGGGTCTTGAGTCAAATCCCGGCTACATTGGGTTAGATTGCAATACTGGATCGGTGGTTTTCCCCGCTTTTCCTCTTTTCCTCCGGGTTATAAGATTTGCAGCCGGTCTTCTGCGCTGGCAGCTGATTCCCAATCAGCTGCGTTCTGCATCACTTTGCCGAGTTTTTCGACTGGGAATGAATGCCGAATCGATTTATTCGCTGGTTTATTCAGTTTAATTGCGTAAATCTGTCCACATGTTGCGCTTTTTTGGTGAATTTTCCCGGACAAGAAAATTTTTGCGTATTTGTACTTTTACTCACAGAAATCAGGATGGCAACTCTTTTCCTTCAATAGAGTTGCCATCCTTCTGATTTTGAACGGTTGATATCGATTGTGTCGATTGCGACATCTGTGTTTCGAGTTTAATCTGACTATTTTAGCCCGATCTGGCAACGACCCGATAATCGTAAAAGAGGAAGAATGTTTGGCGCCTTAATTCAAATATTTAAGAAATAAATTAAAAAGAATGAAAACACCTCTAAATAAATGCATAAAACATCAGACGGGATAGAAGGGTAAGAGACAAAATTAAAAAAACAATATTTAAAAGATCGCCAAAAAAATTGTTCTGCTTTAAGGAGATAATTAAGTTAGTTAAATTGAACTAGTTCATCTAACTTGTCTATGAATCACAAAAAAAAAATGTATTTTGAAAACCCCCACCACCGAGTTTTAAATGCGCTACTAACATATCCGTCAAAGTCAATACTCAAAGTACATAATTCAGAGAGATATATTTTTAAAATTAGCTAAACCATATACGAAAATAAAGAAGAAAACATGAAGTGAGTCAATTAAGATATCCCTTATCGTCACGCCCTCTTTAAAATACTTTTTTTTTGGAGCGATAGTATCGATTGTGGGTTCAAACCATCGATGTTTCCTAAATATTAAAACCATCGATAGGAGAAACTCATGGGCGGTAGCAGCGGCTCCAAGAATGTAGGTCTTATGGACGGAACCGGGACACGTGGCAGCGGCTCCAAGGTAGCTCCTCTGACAGTCGCCTCCATCAAAGAGTCACCGGCCCAGGTAGCTCCTGCCAAACTCTCAGGAAGAGTATTGAAAAAAATCCTTTAGAGCTCCATTATGCTACTCAGCTCGCCCATAATTTTTTCTTTTAAGTTGGCTGGGAAGGCTTTCTTTTGAGTAATTTTGCCATAGTTGATCAGCTGGCTCTTGTAGGTGTTGTGCTGAAATGTTTCCGAGGCATACACAGTAGTTAAAGTCTCCTTCGTGACATTGTGCTGCCTGGAAATCCGACCCCTTAAATGGGTAAGGTCGTATAATCTCGGTATCTCCATGGTCTTTAGGCTGTTGCTGGAGGCGAAGCCATCGCACACAATCGCCACACATAAGGAAAGAATCCCGTGGGTGTGCAGGTAGTACAATACACTGCGTACACATGAGTAAACTTCAAATTTGCTCAAGGTAATATCTGGCGGTACCTATGAGAACGGAATAAAAAGCATTAGTTTTTGGATTCAATAATTCTAATATGTCCTTTAGGGTGGACTTCTTTAAGGTCAACTGAGCTCAGCATCTTAAATGGTAGGTTTCTGTGTCCAATAAATTTATGCGAAAACAGAAAAATTTTATTTCATCGTTTAGGCGGTGCGCAATGGCCTTAAAGTTTCGCTAAAAATTAAGTGTAACACTAGGAATTTACCCCATTCCATTTCTTGTCAGATTTTAACATGTCAACTTTTTGATTTCGCTCGTCAAGTTGAATTGTATTTCATGAAAATAACAGTATGACGTAGCCTAGCCAGTAGAGCTTCTGTCTCCGAACAAAAAGGACCGAGTTCGATCCCCAACTCACCATTTTTTTTTTTGTGACTCACAATGAAATAGAGATTCTATTTTACAATTTTAAAGATCAACTATCTCTTTTGCGTTCGCCAATAAAAATTTTAGTCAAAGAAGAAAATTCTTATTTTTCAGAGACCGTAATATTTATAAGTTGTACTCTAAAAGTCCTTGATTATTCGTTATTATTGTTATTTTTAAGTTGTAATTGTCTCCCAGGAACTCGAATTTTATCAACGACTTCACCCCTTGTTAAAAAGCTCGGGAAAGTGATTAAGATACTTTTTAAAATACTGTCAAAGTATAAAATTAAGTCTACGGCATCTAGATGAATCTGAAATATGCGTAATAAACTTTAAAGCCGTTGCGCACCGCCTAAAACTAATTATTTTTTACTTTTTCTTTCTTTAATGGATTAAGGATACAAAAAGGCTATATATGAAGGGGTGAGAGCATGGCCTTAGAAATTTCATACAAAATAAGTCCACCCTTTAAAAATGGAAAGCGATAATAAAGCTGAATTCATATTTGGCCAAATGCGGTAAAATTGCTATTAGAGGTGGCAAACCATCGATAGGGCACTATATAGTGTTGGTTTATGGATTATCATGATAGTATGATAATATTCACCCTGGTCCCCGGATCGACGTTTTTCAACAAACGGAGTTGCATCTAAAAAATATAAAATATTTCCAATCGCCGCACTAAGGGGCAAATTTTTGTTGCCTATCATTTGGGCCGCGGACTGTCATTTTTGGCGCCCATTTTCAAATTGCTTCGATAAATCCCGATAATTTAGCATGGTCATACTGAAATGTACGCAGGGTTAGCCGAGACACGAACCACACCCTGCGTACATCCGATAGGCAGTGAAAATAACGATACAGCACCCCCAAAAAACCAAATACCAACCCCAACCCCCCCAACCGACAGGAGGCAAAAAATCAGCAGCAGCTGAAAACTGGAACGCAAAACGGCGAAAATATGCTCAAGTCGGAGGTTCAGCACCAGTTTTGGATCACCAAGAAGGTGGTGCAGCGCAAGCTGGGGACGAAGGAGGACAAGCACGTGATATCCTCGGACGCGGAACTGGATTCCAAGATCGAGGTGTTCAAATCGATATCGGACACCAGCTTGAACCTGTGCAAAATCATCGACCAGTACCAGGAGCGCCTGTGCATCTTGTCGCAGGAGGAGTGCGTCTTCGGTCGCTTCCTCAAGGAGGCGGGCAAAAGGAGCAGGACGACGGGCGGCAGTATCGCCCACACGGGCAAGGCGGTGTCCTTCGCCGGCCAGCAGAGGATGTGCGTTCGCGTGCCGCTCCTGCGACTGCAGCACGAGGTGGATGTGTTCCGCTGTCGCGCCGTCAAGGACACGGAGCAGACGCTCCAGACGATGGAGAAGGAGCGCACGGAATACCGCGCCGCCCTCTCCTGGATGAAGTCCGCCAGCCAGGAACTTGATCCGGATACAGGAAAGGGTCTGGACAAGTTCCGCACCGCCCAGAGCCATGTGCGATTGGCCAAGCATAACTTTGACGGTTACTCCATGGATTCCATCCAGAAGGTGAGCGGGGAAACTCCAGAATTAATTATCAGATAATATTCCATTTAATTCATGGGTTCAGAAGATTATATTTATTGTTTTTAATACGATGATAAAAATCTATTTAAGTATTTCTAATTTATTTTAATCAAATTATGGTTACTCTATGGGTTCCATCCAGAAGGTGAGCGGGGGAACTCCAGAATTCATTATCAGATATTATTTCATTTAATTCAAAGGTTCTGAAGAAGGTATTTATTGTTATTATTATGCTTCTATTTAAGTATTTTTAATTTATTTTAATCAAATTATGGTTACTCCATGGATTCCATCCAGAAGGTGAGCGGGGGAACTCCAGAATTAGTTATCAGATAATATTCCATTTAATTCATGGCTTCTGAAGAAGATATTTATTGTTTTTCATGCGAGGATATGCTTCTATTTAAGTATTTCTAATTTATTATAATCAAATTTACTTAAATGGATGATTACTCCATGGATTCTATACAAAAGATGAGCTGGGGATCTGAAGGATTCATATAATTTTCAGATATTATGGTATTTTATGGGTTCTTAGGTCTTGATTTATTGCTAATATTACCTAGGTATCCTTATATCCAAGTTTTAAAATTAAATTTACATTAAATTATAATTTTAGATATTATACCATTTTATGGGTTCTTAACTTAAGTCTTGATTTATTGTTATTAAAACCTTGGTATCCTTATATCCAAGTGTTTCCGATTTTTTAAAATTATATTTACATTAAATTATATTATTAGATATCATACCATTTTATGGGTTCCGAAGAAGTTATTTATTCTTAATAACACGATTAATTACTTCTATCAGATATTTTACCATTTTATAGGTTCTGGAGGCTTTATTCTTTTATACAAATACTATTTATTTAATCTTAATATTACGATGATGTCCTTCTATCAGATATTTTACCATTTTGTAGGTTCTAAAACCTTTATATATTTTTTAAAATACAGTGATATCCCTTTGTCCAATTGTTCCCAATTTTATATAATTAAATTTTAATTAATGGCTAATTCCAAATCCCCTCCAGATCGATTTACTGGCCGCTGCCCGCTGCAACATGTATTCCCACGCCCTGGTGGCCTACGTAAGCGAGCTGAAGAGCTTCGCCCAGAAGGCGGCCTCCACATTCCAGACCATATCCAAGGCCTTGATCCTGAAGCCCAAGTACGACTTCTGTGTGCTGAAGGAGCTGTCCCAAAACGAGGGGGCCAGCGAGGAAGTGCCGCCCATTGAAGCCGTGGACTCGGATCAGTCGCTGTTCTTTGCTGTAACTATAGATATCCAGTTATCCTTATAGAATCCCTGCTAATCCACTTCAATCCCTTGCAGAACGAGTACCAGGACAAGCTGGAGGCGCAGCCACAGGCCACAGAAACCAAGGAGACCGACGAGAACGAACCTGCCACTGCCTGCGGCGACAATGAATCCTTGCTGATTGAGCTCTCCAAGCAGCTGGAGGACAGTCCGCTGATTGATGCGCCGCTGGACGAGGAAATGCCTGCCCAAAACAGTAGCAGCAACAAGTTGTGGTCGCGCCTGTTCAGCCAGAACCAACAGCCCTTAACCAGTCACGTACCCAAGGATTATAAAGATTCCAAAGATTCCAAGGCCCCGATGGCCAGTAAATCCCAGTCCACCAACAATCCCTGGCTTGATCTCTTCGCCGACCTGGACCCTTTGGCCAATCCGCAGGCCTTCGATCTGAAAATGAGCGGCGGACGCAGTGTGGCTGAGCAGACATAAGATTACCCCTTCTAATATCCCGATCCTCGTCGATATACCTGTGTGTGGCAACTAGCTAGTCAACTTTGGATGTAACTTTTCGCTAAACGTTCAAAAACTTTTTATGTTTTATTTAAATAAAATTTATATGGGACACAGCAGCTAGAAGTGGACGAGGCGGACGAGGAGTGGGCAGGCGGTGAACCCTCATTTGACCGCCGCCTGTGCCTCCTTCTTGGAGTTGACCAGCTCGACCAGCTCCTTGACGCGGCGCAGGCAATCCTTTTTACTGCGATTCGGTATGCACGAGGCGATGCGATCCCAGCGATCGGGTGTCGTTGTGGGATAGGTTTTGATGGCCTGTTCGAGCAGGGCCTGCTCCTCCTTGGTCCAGGTTTTGGGTCCACCGCCGCCTCCGCCACTTGAGGTTCCATTTGTGGCCGGAGGAGCAGGGGCTTCCGCTGCTGGAGCCGCATCAACTGTTGGCGCGCCATTCTGCTTGGCCGGCTGATTGTTCACCTTATGATCTACTCCGTTCTGCTTCACGTTCTCCTTGCTCGCCTGGGCCGGCGTCTCCTCGCCCAGGGTTATGTCGTTGCAGGTCTGCACGTCCTTCTGCGACTTCTTGAAGCTCGCAAAGGCCGCATCGTTGGCCTGGGTCTTCAGCGAGCTCTTCGAGTGGTCGGTGTTCTGCAGCGCCTTGGCTTTGTTCAGCACATCGCGGGCATTGACGAGCACAGTATTCCCCGGGCTATGCTGATTGATAAACGTGGCAATGACATCCCAACGCTGAGCAGTTCCAGCAGGAAATAGATTCACCGCCTTGATCAGCAGCTGCACGTTCTCATTGCTCCAGAGTTCGCCCTTCTTCACCTCCTTAACACCTCCTTTTGGTGTAACTGCTGCGCTGGCCAGCTTCTTGGCCTGCGTCTGGTTAATCTCCTCCAGCTCGGCGGCTATCTTTTGATCCGCTGTCTGCAGGGCCGCCACAAACGACTCGCGGCCCTTGGTCTCCATTGCCTTGTTAAGCGCCTGCAGCTCCGACAGATTGAAGGTCTCGCAAATCTTCTCGGTGCCCTCCATGTGCTTCAGCTGGTCCTTGTCGTTCTTCGCGTAATACTTGCAGTCCTTGACCTTGTCGCGCAGCGTCTTGCGCTCCTTCTTGAGCAGCTTCTTCTGCTGCTCGCGTTCGATGCGTATCTGCTCGATGCGTTTCTGCTCGGCCTTTTCGGCCCGCTCCTTGGCCAGTGCGGCCTCGCGGACGGCGCGATCTGCCTCGGCCTTTTGGGCCTGGGCGGCGTCCATCTTGGCCCGCTTGGCCGCCGCCTTGCGGTCCTTCTCCTCCTGCTTGAAGCGCTGAATGCGCTTGTCATTGTTGTAGGCCAGATCGACGAGCGCCCGGATGCGCGACATCTCCTCCTTCTTGCGCTTGATCCGCGCCGCCCTGTTCTCCTTCTCGATCCAGCGACGCTCGTCGCGATCCTGGCCCTTCTCCTTGTCCTCCTCGTCCAGGTAGCTGAACTCGCGCCACGACTTGAAGTCGTACCAGAAGTTGTAGAAGCGCTCCACCTCCTCGCGCTTGGCGTCCACCTGCCCGAAGGCGGGCACGTGCGGCTTCTCGCTCCAGCGGCCGTTGAGTGTGAAGAGCTTGTTGAAGACGCCAAAGTAGTCGCCATCGATGTCGTTCTGCGAGGGCAGCGAGTCGTCGAACTCGGGGTCCACGGAGTCGAAGCTGCGACGCGGCTTGGAAGTGCCTGGAATGCAAGTTTCGGTATAAGTTATAATTATAAATAACATTAGTAGAGTGCCTTTTCTTTATCACAATCATTGAGTTCGATTATATAACCGCACTAAGTGAAAATCTGGCATTTTAGATCTAGTTAATGCTTAGTACAAACAGCTAGTCCTATTTTTAGGTAAACAAATATAAAGCTACAGGTATGTATATGCAAGTTTATCTATCAGAAGAACTAAGTTTCATATAAACAAAATTAAGTTGGAAATAGTAGAGACCTAGTTTTGATTATATACCAATCATAAATTCTTAAATATGGATATAATGAAATCTTAGATTGCAATAAAAGGAATAATTAAGATTGTAAGGATTTCCCATCCTATACCCTTTGTTTAACTGAGATAATGTTAACAATCTAGCGAATCTGTAGACTTTCGTTTAAGGAACAAGGATATGAAAACCGAAGAATGTTTGATATAAACAAAAGTAAAGTAAACTAATATTGACCTAGTTTTGATTGTAACATGTACGGATATCATTTATACGTACTTCAATTCCGATATCATGAAGTCTTAGATTTCAAAAGAATATTTAATTTTAGAAGAATTTCAAATCTCACATTCTTGTGTAGGATTTTAAGTAGATAAAGTTACATGTAACTTAGGGAAAGGTATATAATCTTGAAAATTTTAAGACTCAATAAGGACTACCAGCAAGGACCTAACAAGGACATTAGACACCCACCCAGTATCTCGTAGGCTTTGGTTATGCATGTGAAATAGTCGTCGTCCTGGATGACTTCCTCGCCCTTGGCTTTCCGCTTGTCGGGATGATGCAGCAGGACCATGCGTCTGTAGGCCCTGCGAATATCATCCTCGCTGGCCTCGTAACTGTTGGGGAAAGGGTTTTAAAAAAATAATATAATAAGTACCAATAAATGATCAATAAAATAACAGAAACCTTAGCACATGGGGAATATCTGTATGTTCTGCATGACTAACACGTGCTCGCTCACTCACCGGATTTTGCCCAGACCCAGAATGGCGTAGTGGTCCTGGTCCTTCCACTCCTTGGGATCCAGCGACTTCAGGTAGCTGACGTCCACCTCCTCGCCGACGCCCTCCAGCTTCTCGTCGCTGTCGCTGCGCTCCACGCCGCCGGGCGCTAGAAATTGGCGCCGCTGCGAAAAGTACGCGAAGCCAACGCGCTCGATTCTGCGACGGGCGACCTTGAGCGGCAGCTGCACCTCCACCGCCGTCGTTACCGTACCGCTCGTCATCTCAGTGGCGTCCCGTTCGTCCTCTGGCTGTTGGCATTCACCGCCACTCTGGGTTCACGCGGAATTTGGCGAGCGCTGCCTTCAAATCGTGCGAAACGAGAAAATGTAAGCACGCTTCTCGATTTCGGTTGAGGTTACTCGTGTTCGCTATAGAGTAGGGCAAAACATCGCAATAGAGGAGGGCAAAACATCGCAATAGAGGAGGGCGAAACATCGCTATAGGGGTGGGCGAAACATCGGTGTTCGGTTTGTGTCTTCGCTGTTTTTCGGCCAAGTTAACATTGAGTGAAGCGTTAACAGCTGAGCTAGCACTGCGAAGTTAACAGGGCGCAAGAACTGGAGGGAAAAGTTAACAGTGTGGAATCGGTGGATGGCAACTCTTTCGTTCAAAATCAAATGGGACTATTTATCAATAAAGTGAATCAAGTCCAAAAACCGAGATAATTAGAGAGTAGGCTCGAATTTACATTACTTCTGCTTACTTCGAGATGTTAGTGTTTTTCATGTAAACTAAAATAAACTATACTTTCCGATTTTAAATTCAAAAATTAGCTTGTAACTTTCTTTATTAATTAAATTAAGAATTAAAGAAAATATTAATGAATAAAATCCGCAGCAGGCAGTAGCGAATCAGGACAAACATGACCTGAAAAATGTTTGAATCCGAATTTAACAGCAAATTTCAAATGCATTTACAAAAAACCGGATTCATCCATGTGGAAACTGTTCAAATATATTTAAAAGCGTACGTTACTTATTATTACATAGCACAATCTGAGTTCTTAGTAACTATTTATTGAGTAACTACTTATTGTGTACCCTCGGCTAGTGCTTTCCGCTTCCGGCCACTCTTCATGTGCATGTTAACGTTGCTCTGCCCGGTAAAGGTGCGGATTTGGAGCTGGTGCTGCAGTTCGTGGAGATGCTGGGGCTGGCCCCGTACCTTATGAGTATCGTGTGCGACGCCTGCCAAACGAACAGTGTTCTGCGAAAACTGCGCTATCCGACGCTGTATGATCGGAAACACCTGCAGTCGAGGCTGGCAGTGACGCACTTGAACCGCTCAGTGCCTTTGGCAAGGGCCTACAAGGAGTTGTTCCACGAGGAGAGTTTTCAAAAGGCCATCCACGGCTACCTGGAGCGCACGAGACAGGACCCCGGTCTAACCCCAGCCGCCAAGAACCAAATCGTCCGGGAATTCCTTATCATGGCAGAAATACTCCGGAAGAAGTTCTCGCTGAGCAGCAAGCTTGCGCAGCGCAGTGGTTGTCTGTAAAACGGACAGTCCTAACAAATCAGCAAACTGAGCTGCAGCTGCAAAAGAACATTTTTGTGGCAATTTTCTGTTCTCTTTTTAATAAAATGTAGTATAGTTTCTTTTTATTGTGATTATTATTACTGCTAACTGCTACAGCAACATTTCAAACCACGCAGCTACACAAAAGAGAAGCACCTTCAAAAATATTTGATGTTCGACCGTTTAACGTCTCATTTTGAACGTCAAGGTTGCCATTTGATCAGACATTTTGAAGAAAGTGTTGCCATTACAAAAATGAGGTGAAAGTAAACGAATGATGAAATGAAAATGACATATAATAATTTAAAATTTGTAATATCACCAAACCGAACCCATTTAAACAATGGGAGATTGGAGGATGTGTTAGTTTTTATTCTTAATAACAGCGCAGGTAAGTGTTACAAATTTATTAAATCATTGTTTGTGTTTGTAAACAGCGGTCGGTTACATGGAATATGGGTTTTTTTTTTATAGGTAAAGAAACGGTCGAAGGAAGGGAGGGCAATATAGATCTACACAACATCTGAGATTTTAACGTGTTTACAGAGTAGGCAAAATGCAATAGAACCCCTAGTTTTAGAATTCCGTGAAGTCTGGTTAAAATATGTAGTATCTCGGCCCTTTGTTATAGCTTGTCCCGTTAAGCGAATATTTTGTAAGAATTAATCATGAAGATAGGCCATCCGAGAGAAGTAGCCAAAGCCTACACCAATTGTCGACGAGCCAAGCCGGAGAATAAATTCGCGTGAGCGCTTCTCTTGTACAACATCTCAAGCTCATAGGGGCGTGCCGTAGCACGTAGGGAAATATTGGGGGGTTCTTTTGAATTTTGGGCGGTACTTTTAAAAATTTTTAATATATTTATTTTTTAATATTCTTTATTATTTATTTTTTTTATTTTAAATTACCTCTTTATTTTAAATTTTGTCCGCAGGATACTGCGGGAAAAAAAGACACCATTTGCTCTGCCCGAACCTTTGCACCTAAGAAAAGTCCACCTAACAGTGTGACCAGGTGGGGCAAAACACCAAAAGTTATAATTGGGCTTTATTTTTATTTTGCTCGCTAGAGATGGTGGCAGCACTCGCTAACTGTGGTGTGCGTACTCGCTTACGTCGGAGGGTGCATTCGCTAGGCCCCAAATATTTTCAAATAGGTATTTCGTGGTATATTTAATATTAAAATGGTAATTATTTTTGGTAATACTTTATATTAGCGGACTCACCAGAAATTCGCGGAAATTTCAGATCATGGTACAATTAGTAATCAGGTATCATGTTGTTTTGCTCAACGCGCCCAATGATTACTTCTTTCCGTTTTGAATCTGAAGAGTATGGGCTTTAGAAATTAGTTTTCCATTTATATTCGGAATGCATGTGTTCATATGTCTAAGCATTTTGTTTTTTAATTTTACAAATATCTCTGACCAGCTCAGCTCGGAAAACGTAACAAAATTTAATTTTTACTTCAAAAAAACATCGATGTTTTTTCGAGGAAACATCGATGATTGTAAAATCATCAAACATCGATCTATCGATTTTCACATCGATTCTTTTCCACCTCTACCCTATCCTCAAATCTAACGCCTATTTCATCATTTGCTCATAACTTGACTTGACCGACTTGAAAATGGTTTGGCATAAAATTACCTATTCATTTAGACGGTTCAAAATATAAAATTCAAAAATCGTTTCGGTGTAAAAACTGTGCGACCCTGTCGTCTTGACTCTGTTCCTCCATTTGCCCACTAATGACGGTTACTCGCATCATCACATCGCCATCCGCGGAGTCGAAATCATCAAGGGACGGGACCATAAACCATACAAGGGTTGTCGTGTCGTAATCTCCGAGTGTGCCTGCTTTTTTTCCCTGTCGTTGGAATTCTTTGCCATTGGTCATCAGACAGACCCTAAAAAAAAAGGCGGCGGCATCCTCATCCTCTCCAACGATGCGGCAAGCGATGCAGAACATCCGACTTTGGCGTAAAACATCGATCTTTTGGAGGGATAGCAAGAAGTTCCACCCATGACAGGACTGAATCATTATTCATTTTTCTCTGTCTTCCCGAGTCACATTCTCCACCTCAAAGATGATCTTGCTGCCCTCCTTGGTTACCACGTTCCTATGCGCCTCAGCACGATGCCGGCATACGTCCATCAAGGGTCCCTGCCACGAGCACTTCCCATATGAAAAGGGGCAGGATAACGTTTTTAAATAATTGAGTGTTAACACCTTTATAACTTTTTGGTAAATTGCAGTATTAAAATAAAAATAATCTCCACCATTTAATCACTAAAAAGGACACATTTTAAATTTATCTTCTAAAAATGTGTTGAAGTATTTTATGGTTTTAAAGTGGAATTTCTAAATTTTCCTGGCAAAATAATTTGAAAGACTAATTTATATAACATAATAATATGCCAAGGTCAAATCTTAAAAATCCCCTTTTTTTTGGCAATATTCTAAGAATTGGGAGCTCTTAAAATTTCAATCGTTACATATGCAACTTAGGCCCTTAGAAGCTTTCAGAAAAATTTCATCAATATTCAATAAATTCTGCAAATTTGGGATTCTTTTTCGATATTTTTAATACGTAAATATACATTTTCTGTTTTTGTTTATAATATATAATTGTTAATAATAACCCAAGTGTACTTGACTTAATTAAAATGCAAAACAAACTTGTAAATGGGGCTACAATGTAGAAATAAAAACTCAAAATTTATTGTCATAGTTTACAAATAATACATGCGAGTACAACACGGGTACTCATGCTCAGGATGCTCCGTCTACATCTCGAGTACATACCCTACCCCTTTTCATATGGCAAGTGCTCGTGGCAAGACAGAGAAAAATGGATAATGTTTCAGTTTTGTCATGGGTGGCACTTCGTGCTAACCCTTTATCCCTCTATCCCAAAAGATCTGGATCGCTGGATGCCGCCGCCTTTTTCTTTAGGATCTGCCTGATGGACAATGGCCAGCAGTTCTATCGACAGGGAAAAGCAGACACACTCTGAGATTTCGACACGACGACCGATGTATGGTTTATGGTCCCGTCCCTCGAAGAATTCGCCTCCGCGGACGGCGATATGATGATGCGAGTAACCGTCATTAGTGGGCAAATGGAGGAGAGTCAAGACAACAGCGTCGCACAGCTTTTACACCGAAACGATTTTTGATTTTATATTTCTTGGATTCTATTCGGAGAATTCGGAATTCGGATATATAGGAGAGAGTGAAAACACTTTCTACTATTGTAACATTTTAAATAACAAACAATGTTATCATCGCGGCTTTACTAAAGCTGCTAATGTAAGGGATTATAAAATGCTGCCCTAATTGTTAGGTCAGAAATGGAAGGCCAGAAGTTGTACCTTCAAAAATTCGACGAAGCTCGGCGTAATGTGTTTTTATTAAAAAGATCCAAACTACCGAGCTTCGGACAGGGTGCAGGCCAAGCTCATAAGGGCGTGCCGTAGCACGTAGGGTACTTTTAAAAAATTGTATTTTTTTAAATTTTATTTTTTTTTAACTTGGAAGATCAGCAGGATACTGCGGGAAAAAGGTCCAGCCTTCCCGAAAACAGAGTAAAATTTCCCTAATTTCACAGGAACACAAAATTAAACTTTGTGAAATTTCCACGAACCATTTCAAGTTTTCCATGATATTTGGGTGCTCCTGAGTAAAAGTCCCATACAAAATTATTTTCCATCACCTACAGGTTCCGCGGTATAGCTAAGAATACAAAAAACCGATGTTTGCCGACATTTTGAATTACGTGGCCTATATAATTGGACCAACATTTATTATTTTCGGTAGGACCTACTCTCAATACATCAAGGCATTCCTAAAAAATAGTCCCCATTGTGAACCATTGCCCATGTCTTTGGAATTCGACGCCAAAGTTGAAAATCCCAAAATTGTAGAGATTTTTCTGATGGAAAAACCATTCTGAGGATTAAATCTTGAATGGAAGTAATTTTAACTATTCATTGTATCTATTGTTCATTGTATGCTTTAATTTCGCTTTAAAGCGATTTCATGAGAATATTTTTTATTGGATTTATTATACTAATAAAACCGTTTTTTTTATTTCATTATCTACTCCTAAATGTTGTCAAATTTTAAAAAAGTCAAGGCATCCTACAGAATGGGAGTAAACATTTACATTTCTCTGTGTATGTTCAGTGAACGTATTTTAGTTTCTTAGTTCTAGAGGTTGCCATGACTTATTCAAAATTTGACAACATTTAGGAGTAGATAATGAAATAAAAAAATCGGTTTTATTAGTATAAGAAATCCAATAAAATGTTCTCATGAAAACGCTTTAAATCGAAATTAAAGCATACAATGAACAATAGATACAATGAATAGTTAAAATTACTTCCATTCAAGATTTAATCCTCAGAATTGTTTTTCCATCAGAAAAATCTTTACAATTTTGGGATTTTCAACTTTGGCGTCGAATTCCAAAGACATGGGCAATGGTTCACAATGGGGACTATTTTTTAGGAATGCCTTGATGTATTGAGAGTAGGTCCTACCGAAAATAATAAAGGTTGGTCCAATTATATAGACCACGTAATTCAAAATGTCGGCAAACATCGGTTTTTTGTATTCTTAGCTATACCGCGGAACCTGTAGGTGATGGAAAATAATTTTGTATGGGACTTTTACTCAGGAGCACCCAAATATCATGGAAAACTTGAAATGGTTCGTGGAAATTTTTGGCTGTGTACCTGTGTTTTTAATGAAACATGCATTTTGGGCCCATGGTTTTATGGGATTTTATATATCTGCACCTAAAAAAAAGTCCACCTAACAGTGTGACCAGGTGGGGCGATTAAGTAAACACCAAAAGTTATAATTGGGCTTTGTTTTTATTTTCCTCGCTAGAGATGGTGGCAGCACTCTCTAACTGTGTTGTGCGTACTCGCTTACGTCGAAAAGTGCACTCGCTAGGCTGTTAGCGCGAACCCTAAATATTTTTAAAAATGTATTTAGAGGTATGTGTAATAATGAAATGGTATTTATTTTTTGGCCAGATAGTATTTTGCCCCAATAAATGATTTTCAAACAATTTAAAATTTGAATGGAATTGATTAGCCAGTATGTTGTTGTTCACTTTGTAATACAAAATGTAAACACTTTTAGCATTTTAAAAAAATGGTCCATAAATCCTAATTATTAAGACTTTGCTAAGTTTTATTTATCACATTTATTTTAAACTTGTTTTGTAATTACAATTTATGTGCTTAAACTTTGTCGGCTATTATAATTGTACACCTTTTACTTTCCGTTATCAATTTTGTATTTAGGTAACACATGTCCGTCTCTTTACACAACTCGTAAAATATTTTACTCTTAAATATTCTTACCCTATTTACATATAGAAGGAAAAAAGATTTGTACAACGAATATTTGATTTTCTATATGATTATTGGATTTTTAAATTGACTACTAATACTAGAAAATTACCCTATACATATTTTGGTAGAATTGAACAAAGTTAGTAGGTTCATTGGCATTTCGTTCGGTTGGGCTTTAAGGGAAGATCCAAATTTCTTACAAATACACACATATAAACGGCAATTCTTAGGTTTAACGACTAGAATTGTGCTGAGATAATGCAAGTATTACATTTATTTGATCTACTTGTTCAAGAACTGTGATTTAAAAATTCTACTAAGTAGCTTCAGTGCCGATATCTCCTTTAGTTATTCTTAACTGACATAACTTTATAGTCAATCATTTTTCGTCTTGAATAAAATCGTTCCAAAAATAAATTCATCAGACACTTCATCCGCTTGAGATCGATTTAGACCCAGTGAGTGCGCGTAGTCGGCTATAACGCATCGTTGTGGCTCTTCGATATCGTCGTCTCGATCTGATCGATCCGTCGAAACGATGGCATGTAGCTGGAGCTGGCTTGTGTGACGATCGAATTGTTTGAGGAACTCTGAAAGGCGAATATAGGTAAAATAGATTCATGTAATAATTGAAAGAAATAAAGAGAAGTATTTAGTAATTTTTCATTAAATATATTTTAAAGGTTATATATATTGTTATCGTGAAACACACGCACATTTACTCACTTATTTAAATATTAATTTTATTTGTTAAACGGAAATTCTTATTACAAATTTTAATTTTGTCTTGGAAATAAATATTTATCGCAAACTTTTTGAGACTTTTTCGTTTCGCGATCTAGTATAATGTAGAGTACTAGAGTAATTCAGAAAACAGAAATCAAAGTCAGAGTAAGAAGTCGCTTGCACTGTTTGAAGAACCCTACATCACCATCGCCGAGAACTTCAAAGACCAATGGAATGAACTTGGTGCCGTTTCACTCCCACTGATAAAGAGTGTTAAAGCTCTACCGTTAAGCACTCGGATCCTGATCCAAAATGCCGAAGTTAACACGCTTCGGTCCAAAAATTATGTTAACTTGTGAGAATTTTGTGGTATTTCTACCAGAAAGGTTTAGTTCGCTGCCTGCGAAAGCTGTGGAGCATTTGGCGACTGGGAACTACAAAGTCATCATCAGAAAACTGATGGACTAACTATACGTTAAGTTTTTATAGAACAGAAGAAGAGAAATAAAAGTAAATATCAATAAAGTTTCTTAAAACTTAAAATCAAAAAATGGCTGGTGTTTCACATAACAATAACAATCCTGGGTCTAGTAACAATCCTATCGCTAGTGAAATACGATATTGTGATGCGACCAACTAATTTTAGCAACATTTAGATTACAGTGTAATATAAATGTTGCTAAAATTAGTTACATGCTCCATAAGCTCCACAGGTTTCGCAGGCAGCGAACTAAACCTTTCTGGCAGAAATACCCCAAAATCCTTGCAAGTTAACATAATTTTTGGACCGAAGCGTGTATACTTAACTTCGGCGTTTTGAATCAGGATCGGAGTGCTGAAGGGTAGAGCTTTAACAATCTTTATCGGTGGGATTGAGTCGGCACCAATTTCGTTCCATTGGTCTTTGAAGTTCTCCATGCTGACGGTGATGATATAGGGTTCTTCAAACAGTGCAAGCGGCTCTTTACTCTGAGTCTGATTTCTGCTTTCTGAATTACTCTAGTACTCTACATCTCACATTTATACTCGATCGCGAATCGAAAAAGTCTCAGAAAGTTTGCGATAAATACTTATTTCCAATACAAAACTAGAGTTTTGAGATAACAATTTCCGTTTAAACAAATAAAATTAATATTTAAATAAGTGAGTAAGTGTGCGTGTGTTTCACGATAACAATATATATAACCTTCAAAACGAAAGAGGCTGGTCAAGTGAGAGGGAGAGTGGGAGGGGAAGTGGGAGGGGATGGGGAGGTGGAGTGGGAGGAGAGGGGCACGAGAGGGGGAGGAGAGGGGGAGTGGACGCGATAGCAGAGTATCAACATTCCAAAACACTCTCGACCTTGCACCAACCACTTCCGGTATATTTGTTAAAATCTTTAGATTTCTTAAGATATTTTGACTATTATCGAAAAAGGAAACATGTAAAAAATTGTTTTTTAATTACTTCAAAGGGTGAGATTGTAATTTTATATTTGTATTTCGTAATTAAATTTTTTAATCTTCAATACCTTTTTCTGGCGATAGGAACGTCCCCGAACACGGGTTGTATTTCGGCGCACTGGATTGACTGTGGTCGACTTCTGGGATAACCGAACCGAGCTAAATGTGCTGCCCCGATGTCCTCGACGAATTTGCGGCGAAGGGGTACCCGTGGCTAAAAAAAACGATAAGTAAGCTCTTGATACGAAAAAAGCAAACCTCACTGAAACTCACGTGTTCCGGCGATGGCTGTGCTGCGTTTGCTGGCCTGCAGCATTCCGAAAACGACGGCACTGAAGGAACCATGATGCGATGTCTGGCGCTGGAGGTTCGGCGTTTGGGCCAGGGGAATCCCGGCTGGCATGCGAACCGGCGAGATCAGCTGGCTCTCCGTAATGCCCTTGGGATGTACATAGAAGGTGGTCATCATGCCCTTGCCCTTCACAGCGATTTCACCACGTTTCTGGGGGGTTAAAAATACAATAAAACCATGGGTAAGGGAAATATAATTAGGGTACACTGATTTTTATTTTATATTTCATTATTTTTCACCATGATTTTGATGTTTTTATTAATTTTAAATATGAAAATATAAAATGTAACAATGAATGCTATTTTATATATTTAAACGTTGATTTAAATATAAAATACTTTTTTTAAATCACTTCAAATATTTAAAGAAAACAAGAGAAAACGCTATAGTCGGGTTGGTGTCCTGACTATCTAATACCGTCACTCGGCTAAAGGGAGTGCAAGGGAGATGCATATATACAATTTTTTCATTGCGTATAACTTTTTAATGTATGGTCCGATTTGAAAAATGTCTTCTACATTTCGATAGGTGTAAGTATACACAACAAAATTGTGGGCATTAGAGGGGGCGTGGCGCTCGGCTAAAATAATATTGCGCTGGGTAGGAAGCCCAAGAATATGCAATTAAATATTTTTTGTATTTTGAATATTTACTACGAATCTTTTAGTTAAATTTGCAGTTTTTTAATTTTTACTATTCCATTTTTTTTATCAGTGTATCAGTATAGAAAGCAAACTTACCACACAAGTGTAGCCGCGGGAGCAGAGCAACTCGGCCGTATTCTCCGGCACCTGAACCCGCCAGTTCTCGCCCGTGGAGTCCATGCGCGAGGCCACATTGACCGTATTGCCCCAGATGTCGTAGACGGGCTTCCTGGCCCCAATCACTCCGCTCACCAGGGGACCACTGCAGATGCCCACGCGCAGCTGGAAGTTGTTGAACGCATCGCCGTTGATCTCCTCCAGCTTCTGCTTCATGGCAAAGGCGAACTCCACCAGGTCACAGACACTGTCCTCAGAGGTCTCGCCGCGCAGTCGGAGATGCTCGTGATTCAGGCCCGCCGCCGCCATGTAGGTGGCACCCACTGTCTTGATTTTCTCCACCGACGCGAAACGCGGCTCCTCCAGCAATTCATCAAAGTCACCTGATTTGATTCGTGTGATTCGCGTGTGGCATCATTTGATTAGATGAAATCGATGGAATAGGGCTTAATCAATCAACTCACAGATAATCTCGTTCAGGATGCGAATGCAGGCCTTGCCATTGTCGATGTCCTCGGAGTAAAAGTCCTGGAAATTGGGAATCGAGGCGAACATCACGCCGCACTGATTGTGCATCTTGGAGTAGAGCTCGTCCGTGTGCTCGTCGGATAGGTAATAGGTAGCCACATGGTCCGGCAGGATGTTCTGCAATCAAACGGTTTAATTAATGACCAAAAGGGAGGCAAAAGGGAAGGTACACTAAAACAAAAGAAAGCCCGAAAAGAAGCTCAAACATTTGACAAGTGTTAATCTTTTTCGTTGGAACCCCAAACTCTAAACAATTTTAGGATTTTTTTAAACGGAGTAATAATCGATTGAATGACAAGTCATCGACATACAGCAGCGGTCAAAATAATAGTAGTGACACATACAAGGTGGTCATTATAATTTATTTTATCCATTTCAACAGCAGGAATATATCCTTATCGAGTTAACTTTTGGTAAATGATCTCTGATCTTAAATCATTAATTTTCTTCGTTTTATTATCCACATTTCTCTCTCTGTACTTCAGGCCAAATCTCTTACCTTAATTAATGTGTCATTAAGCGCACGATTGGATTTCATGTTGGTCAGTTCACGCTCGGCCTGTTCCTTCCATATGAAGTCCAAACGGGAGGTTACCTGGGGGAATGCGGATGAGTAATGAGAAAGGAGCATAGAGGTCAGGGAACACCCCTTAAATAAAGCTTACCTCCACAAGTCTCGCATGGTAGCAGACCATCACCAGGAACGATATCAAAAGTATCAGCATTTGGACTCCAAGGGGAACGCCCAGTGTGGATAGCTGGACCAAACTGAAGCTTTCGCCCGTGCTGAACTTGAACAGGATCAGGGCGGTATAGAATGCCACCATTCCCAGGGCCATGAGGGCCTTGACTAGGTAGTAGAGCTTCAGGGCGGTGGCCAAGGAGACGAGGCAGAGCACCCAGGTGAACACCAAGTACTCCGGATGGGCGCACTGCCCCTCTGCAACCACTGCATTCCTTAGGTCAATCGAGCTAATCGGTGTGCTATCCGGATCTGGATATCTTTGTATGTAAATGGACACATTCAGATACACGTTCTCGGCGCTGGAGCTATTGCTATAGGGCGAGATCATCCGCTGGTAACGCGAGTGCTCGTCCACGGTGCCAATGTAGGTGGACGAAGGACACAGGACCAGTCCGATGGCACTAAGCATGCACATGGACACGATGACGCCGCAAATGAAGAGAGTGCGCCGCTGCCGCTGATGCACCAATTTGGCAGAGTTCGTCTTCAGGAAGCGGGGAAGTCCTATAAAATAATTTTAAAAGATTTAAAATTAAGGTAACCAACCTAAAAAGGTGCTCAAAAGTATGCTGTAAAAAGTAAAACATGCTATATCTGTTTAAAAATATTTTGTAGCATACTTTTGAGCACCTTTAAAATTTTCAAACTGAAAAAATTTATGCTGCAAATACCCATAATTCAGCTACATTCCTAAACCGAAACATATATCTCCATTAATCCATTTACCCCCATGCTCACCTGGGAACTCCTCGGCCATAACTAGAACGCAGCAGAATGTGAGAACTATGGTGCCCACCGAGAGACAAATAATGAGACGCGTGCACCGCGGAATGATGATGACCTGACACAGCACCATAAATATCCAGATGACAAACACACACAGCATATTGGATCTGAATGGGAGATGGAGGCAGAGGCGGGCGAAAATCAATTAGCAACAGTTCATTAATTAAGAGAGTCCTGCCCTTTGTTTGCTTTCCATTAGCAGGCATTGCATACGCCGGAACATACCGGAACATATCCTCCCGCAGCTGGCAGAACTTCTGCTCCTGACTCTTATCCTTGAACTTCAGCGTCCAGGGATTTAGGTACTCGCGTCGGATTTCCTTATTCGAATTGATTTGGATATTCTGCTCGATGAACTCGTCGATCTGTTTGCGATTGGCAGAAATTATAAAAGGAGATTCGAAGGATAGGAGTCACTTACCTCCTCGTCCAGAACGGCCACCGACACTCGATGATCCTCCTTGGTGTCAACTAGGATGGAGTCCGCACGATTGAGTCCTTCTTCGGGGCTGTTGAGCTGCGAAGGCAAATCAAAACAACAAAGGGTAAAATTTAATGATACATTGAACAAATCCACACAATATAAGGATATTTAAAATATATTATTCATTTAAATCAATTCTATTAAATTTAAAGGACAAGAAAAAATTATTTTATTAATACTTAAAGTTTTAAAATAAATAAATGTGAATAAATTTTATTTTTTCCTTTTTAATTTCTTTTTAGACAATAAAATAATGTTTTTGGTATTCCTATTTAATTTATCGGTTTTTAGTGGTTCAAAATTGAAATGTTCTTACGTTCTTGAATGGAATCTCCGGTATCCAATCGGTGGTGGACTCGTCCTCGATGATCAGTCCCTTGCCGTCGATGGCCTCCGCCAGATTTTGTATGCTGGTTGCCCCGTTCCTGGGTCGCAGCTGCACCTCCAGCGGTGTCGACATCATGGCCGTGGGCGACGACACGGTGGACATTCCCGAAGGACCTGTTCCTCCAGCTCCTCCAGCGCCACCCATTGCTCCACCCATTCCACCACAGCCGTTCCTCATCCTTCGATTGTCCATGGCCACGCCCTCCACCACATTGGGCAGCGAGTTCAGCGATATGTTCTTCTTCTGCTGCTGCTGAAGAAGTTGCGCCGGCTGCTGGGCGGGTACACTGATGGTCGCAGCGTACTCCAGACTCCTCCCATCCATGCTGGCTCCATCGCCGCCCGTCGTGGTGACCCCACCGATGCTGCCGCTTCCGCTGGCCGAGATTGATTTGGGCAGGGCAGCGGTGGGCGTGGCGGATGGGGCGGTGGCAGTGGCCACGCTGCCCGCCAAATGGGCGCTGCTGCGCGTGCCAAAACGACGTTTCGGTCTGTGGGCGAGGCAGGAAAAATAAGCAAAGGGTTTACAATATTCGGTATTATATTTAAATACACTCGAAGAAAATTAAAGAAATTTATTTAAGAATGCTTTTTATTTAAATTAAAATGTAAATAATTATTTTATATTTAAAAACCGTTGCAGAAAATAAAAGACATTTTTTAAGAAGGTGTTATATTAAAATAACAATTAAATAAATTTTAAATGGTTATAGTATATTTTTGCAGAAAATGAAAGAAATTTTTTAAGAAGGTCTTATATTAAAATAACAGTTAAATAAATTTTAAATGGTTATAGTATATTTTTTATACCAATTTTGGGTAATAAATTCTCTACTACACTTAGTGTTAAAAAGTTCTTTAATCGTTATAAAATATATAAAAAGTTTATAGATTACAAAACAAATGTGTTGTGAAATATGATTATTTTTACATTTTATTTTCGCAATAATTTTAATAATATTAATTTTAAAATCTTGTTATTCCCATCACAACATTACCAGCCAAATGTCATAACATTTTTCACCAAGTGTACTTTTCACTTACCTCAATGGCTCAGTACGCTTGATGAGGAAGGTCTTAACGTTCAGCATTTTGAGGTGATTGTCCCGACTGCCGCCATTTCCGGGTTCCACCTCGTAGGCATCGTTCAGGCACTTGAGCGTCGCCTCCGAAATGTGGACTCTTCTGCGGAAGAAACGAATCCAAGGTGAGAGTATTAGCAACTTGAGTTCGGAATTGTAGTTGGCGAAAATTAAATTCAAATATTTGCATACGTTTTCTATGAATGTGCGTGGTGATTTGCCCAGAACGAACCACCGACCATTTCATTTCCTTTCCCATTTTTCCCGCCCATCTCTTTGTGTTTTCTTGTGGGCGGTGGGCCCTTCATAATTGGGTCTCCACTGGATTCCTCACAGCTCTATAATGCTCCAGCTCCATCGGTTGCTGGTTTCTGGTTGCCGCCCAGGCCACCATCACATCAAAGCATTTTGCATTAAATTGAGCTTTTCATTTCTGGGGCTTTTCATTTTGTTTCGGGTTCTGCGGTCGCTCGGATTTTCTCCATTTCCCACTGCTGCCGCTGCTGGGCTGTTTCTTTCTATTATTTGGTTTCTTGTGTCTAAACACGCCAAGCTTGCAAAATTGCCGAGCAATTGTTGTGAGCTGCACAGGAGCAGGAGCAAAATAAAGAGCAGGACCTGAGCCACAGGACCCGCAAATTGGCCAATTAAGACTGTGGCCAGGCCAAGATTTGCCACCAAAGTCAAAGTTATTCGACTTACGGTTAGTTTTACAATTTAATTTAAGAGTAAGCAGGTATGCTACACTCAAAAACTAAAGTCAGAAAAGTTTCAAAAAACTAAACCTTAAAGAAATATTTTCTTAAAATATTATTAAAAAAAAGAAACTAAGGAAACTAACTAAATTGCGAAGAAATATTATTAAATTAAATATTGATTATTTTACAGGCAAATACAAATATTATTTTTCATTAATATATTTCAAGTCGAAAAGCACTACTCAACTATTTTAAGTGTAGACGCCAAACTATCATACTGAATTAATAAGTAAAAGTTGTGGCTGCTGACTATGCAACTTAATTAAGATGCTTTGACCTTTGAATCACTGGCTCGGTTATTAACAGAATCATTTATGAATGCAATTCCGTTTCTAATGAGTAATGAGCCGCTTTATTAGGGAAATTATCCTGCTGGCAGGATTTCAGCACATTCCCCACCCCCTGGGCGCACCTGAATTTGTCAACTCATTACGATTGCACTCACACGCTGAACCGTGTATATGGAACTATACGTGACTGGATTACTTACCCGGGAATACCGCCGGATTCCATGTGATTTGCAATGATAACATCATTGGACCAGACGTCAAAATGCCATTTCTTGTTGCCCAGAACGCCGCACATCACCGAACCGCTGTGGATGCCGATTCGCATGTTGAGGTCCACCTGCAATTTGCAAAGCGCACTTCTTAAAATATGCAACGCACAGCGGAATTTCTAACTAAGCCGGTTGAAAGTTTCCTCCATATACGAAGTACACTCAGAATAAAAAATGTCCTGAGTGTTTGGACTACAAGTTGCAATAGGAATATTTAGACTTTAAAACCATTAAATATATTGATATCAAAATACAAATATAAAGTTCCCTGATTATTTATTAAAATAAAAAGTTTATAAACTCATTTAATATTAAAATAATGTGGCAATTACAAATGCATCTAACTAATTTGACTGACTATAGCTATCACTTCTTAAATTATTTCTCAAATCTAAAATATTATATGATATAGTATTTTGGATTTTATATTGTAATATAAATGTAATGTCCTTATGAAATCGGTGGTGGTCAATATATGTTTTAATTTTGGTAGGTATAGAATCTTAATATTTTCCATTCGAGATCTTGAACTCTACCACTTCCTCAAATTTTTTTCTGAGCTGTCAGTCGGTTGGCAGAACTCACTCTACCCAGTCAATCGTCAAACTGGCGCAGCAATTAAGTCGCCAGCCCAATTATGCGACTGCAGGCGGCATAAATCCCCGCAAACGAATATGGGATTCCCCCGTTTTTCTGCGGCATGCCCCAAGCTTTCCTTCCCCGCATTTCCACGAAAAAAATCAATTAAATTCCAGTGGCACTTTGTCGTATGAAAATTTAACTCTCGCTGCTGCTTTTCGGCCGACTGTTGTCGTTGCCTTTTGCTCTGTTGAGATTTGCATACAAATGAATTGTCAACACGTCCACTGCCTCTGCTCTACAGCTCCTGCTCATTCTCCTATATGTACTATATATTCTAGAGCCACTGTCCTGGGTCAAAAAATGGGGCACTGGATTGTGCAATAAAAAATAAACGAAAACCTCCTCACAAATAAAAGAATGCCAAACAGCTGAAAACTGCAAAATGGGTATTAAATATTTCAAATGTGCCGCACAAACAGAAAAAGTCCAGACGACCTCAACAGATGTCAGTCGGTTTACTTTAAATGCAGCTTATTGGAAAGAGTTTACCATTATTAAGTCTTAAGTAAATTTAAGAAAATGAAAGAGTTCAAATCCACTAATAGCTATAGCTATAGAACATTTGGTATTTGGTAGTATTTTATTCTTTTATAATATTTATATTTTTAAGTTTTAGTTAAATGTAGTTCAAAATGATTTCGGATAAAAAATGTTTCAAACCCTGCCCTCGCAAATATGCTACGTTTTAAATGCCGTTTCCCCTTCTTCACTTGGCAAGGTTATATTTCACAAAATTTAAATAAATGTTTAAGGGACACACTTCATGGTGTTTGCCTCGATTCGATTGGAGTCGATTCCACTTACGTGCGTGTGCAGGCGCACATCCTTAATGGCCTTTATCATGTGCAGGCCAGTTTCCACGCTGCACACCGCGTGATCCGGTCGCGTCTTCCAGTTGTCGCTCTCGAATTGCGACACACAGTAGTAACAATCGCCCAGCAGCTTTACACGCAGACAGTGGTTGTCCTTGAGGGGCGGAAAGGAGGAAAAGCGGTGAAAATCGGTGGGAAAATTGCTTAATAAAGCATTCGCAACACACAGAAAACTATTCGGTTGGGCGACTTTAAGTCATGTAATGTAATTGTAACAATCGAATTCTTTCCAATAAAATTTTTTTCGAATTTACAGTTGTTACAATAAGAAAATGAATAAAAATCATAACTAAATTGGTTTCAAATTTAAATAATTTTTATGATTTATACATGATTTAATAAATAAATATGATTTCTGATTAATAAATTTATATTCCGTTTCTCCACTATTTCTGTGTAGTTCAAGTATAATTTTTTGTTTTCTTAACCACTTACCTCTGCAATGCGATCGAACCGGGCAAACAGGTCATTTAAGATTTTCACCAGCTGCTGGGCCGAAGTTTTGCTGGCCAACTCGGTGAAGCCCTGGAGGTTGGCGAAGGGAAAAGCAAAAGGTGTCCGAATTCACACTATAAACCTCTCAGACTTTCTTGTTCAACCAACACCTACCTTAATGTCGGCGAACAGAATGCTCACATTGTCCATGGGATAAACGTACAATTTGTTGAACTGCGTCTCCACCGTGGGATCCGTGCCCTTGTACATTTCGCTGCGGATTTGATTGTTCACGATATTGGGCAGAACTGCGAAAAGGGAGCAGAATTCCGCGGAGTGGGGTTAGTCGACGACTTGAACACGAGCCAAAGGCAATATATATTCGCTCGAGGACCCGTTAAAAGGAACCTCCGACTGCCAGCAGTTGTCAGGCAACGCGAAATTACCGGGAACGGCGGAGGTTTCTTCTACCTGCTCTTTATTCTTTATAGAGAAATGCCAAATGCCACTTAGAAGTCCCTCAACAGGGCCAACAACTTATTAAACAGCGCATTTGCGCATTTGTAGTTTCTACTTAGGTAAACAGCAATAAAGTCTTGAAAGGAATTCCGCTAATATCAAGCAGTCGCTGCTAAGAGCAATAAGTTATGGTATGCAACAGGCCGTAATATAAGATTGGTTGCAAAATAAGCTAAATAAAATGTGTATTTTTAGTTAAATTATAAAATATTTTTAATGTGTAAATAAATGTTGTTCTTTTAACAAATAATTACATCAGCACTTGTACCCAGAAGAATATTTTAAAAAATTTTAAAATGATGTAAAAATTAGTTTTAAGAAGAAATAAATAGAATTTATGATTGAGGTCTGTTTAAGTTATTTTGTGGTAATTTCTGTATTGGAAAATGTTCTATTCCGAATATATAAATTTTACAAAATGGTAAGGAAAGAATACCGAAACGTTAAAATAAAGAGACTCTTATAAAAACAAACAACTAAAATTCAAATACCTGATTATATACGAATTCACCATATTTTTCACTCACTTGAATCCAATAATTTCTGGGTGCGCTGAAGCTCCTTCTCGGACTCCTTCTTGTGCTCCATGGCCTTGTGGGTTTCGATGAATGCTAGACGTTGTCCACGATCCGTGAGATACTTTGTGTACATACCAGCCACGTTGATGGCCGTATAGAGAATGAAGTTGGCAAAGATCTGGAACAGAACGCACTCGGCATTGAAGGTGGCCTGCGGGTGTAGGAGAATTGCAAAACAATTTTAGGCAAAAGTCACAAAACGATTTCGGTGGCAGGCCAATTACATCGGGGTGCTGCAGTTTGATGATGGTAATTACGGCCAGGTGACAGCTGGCCGTGATGGTTCCGCCCACAACGCACCATTTGAGGGGCAGCGGCAGCATGGCATAGGGCACAAAGATGACGAACAGTATGTACCACACCAGGTACTCCCGATCCGCGAATCCCACGCCCTGGCCCACGAATCCTGTGCCGGAATGGAAGATGGAAAATCGGAAACATTTACGACTCATCCCGCAGGCGACCCAAAAGGATTAGCCATTTTGACGGTCCGTGCAGGTGACGCATGATTTACGACTCCCACACACTCACCCTGGATGTTGAAGAGCACCCAAGTGCAGACCGCGGCCCAGTGCAAATAGTTGTTGGCGAAGCAGCGCCAGTAGCCCAGAAAGCAGATGGCCATGTTGGCGATCCCACAGCAAACCGACCAAGTGATGGCCGTCGCCATGCTCTGCAAGGAAATCAAGAAAATCAAATAAATATCCAGCCAACATTCAATAAATATTTAGCAATATATTAACTTGCTACAACAAAATTATATTAACATTATCGTCCCACGTCTAATATCAAATTATGCTAAATACTCTTAAATCTCCACGCAATTATTTTGTATTTTTTAAAGTGACTGATTAAAGTAATAATATTGTATTATATTTAATTAATTATATAGTAATTCTAATTATTATTTATTAAAAATAAACAAACAATAAATAATCCCGAAAATAATTCATTCATATTTTGTGAGTACCATTAAATCATTTTTGTAATATATCCTAGGTATAATTATTAAAATTTCTATTTTAATGATTTTGATAACAGTTAATTATAGTTATTTATTTAAGTCAAGGAACCCTTCCACTCACCGTTCCACCTTCGTTTTCAATGGGACCCAGTTCACTCCGTCTCATCATCCAGACGAAAGCCAGAACAATCTTAAGGACAAAATCCACCACGTTCACAATGATCAGGGATTTCTGGCGTTGGCGATGCGTGTAAGTCAGGTAGGATCGCTCCAGAGAACTCTGCTTGAAGGAGTTGGTCAGCGAAGGACAAAGGATTCCTTTGACCACGTTGCCACTCTTGAAAGCGGAATACATCTCGTTGTTTAAGGGCCGTTGCGGTTGGCCTGCGATGCTGGCTAGCGAGTTACCCGATTCCAGATCGTGTTCTTTAAGGGATATTAAAAAATATATAAATTATAATTAAAATTATAATATAATTATAAAATATATATGGGCACTTCAATATTGTCGCTCGGGACATTTGCCCACATTTAAAGTTGAAAAAAAAATTTAAAAAAAATTGATTTTAATTTTAATAATAGGCTTTTCTTTTCACTCTTCCCAAGCTCTATTTTGTGTAAAATTCTTGATTTTGTACCATTTTTAGTTTTTAAGACTGCCGTATTCGTATAGAAACTCTTATAGGATGAAACACACAACTGATATTACTAAACTAATTACATTTTTTTATTCATGGTGACTTATTTTAAAGGTCATTTCTGAACCCTTTTCTATGATAACCGAAAAAAGAGTTTAAATAGGGAAGCAAAATATATTAGTCTTTTAATAAGGAAATCTTAGTGACTTAATATCCTTTATATCCTCTTCACGATAGGCGGATTTTGGGTCAGAACTCGATTCCATATCCGGGATTTCCCGGAATCCCCGCTTACCGAAATTGCTGTTGCCAAAGATGCTGCAGCTCTCGGTGCGGCGCTTGGGTCCGTAGGCCCGCTTGGCCTCCACAATCCGGACGGACTGCACCCGCAGCGGCGTCTGCTTGGCCACGCCCCCTCCCGCACGCAGGGGGCCGCCCTGCTGTTTCTTGCGCAAATTGGACAAAATTGATGTGGTGGAGGCACGCAGCGATTCCGATGGCGGCTGGTCGCCAGTGTCCTCCATTTGGGCGCCGTCGCCGGGCAGTCGGGGTATTTTCGACATGTCCGGAGTGGCTATCGTTGTGGCTGCATCCTGCTGTTTTTGGTTTTAGCTTGGCTTTAATTAGTCCTAAGTGCGTGGGAGGGCACTCACATATAAACTTACCTCGGAGGATGCCACTGCTGCTGCTGCGGCTGTTGTTTCTGTTCCTGTTCCTTTGACCGTAATCTGCTCATCATCCGTAGTCTGCGCTGCGGGATTACTTAGACCCAGACCATCAACCTCATCCTCATCGTCATCATCCCCCTCCAGTTTCAGGTCGTCGATTTGCGCCAAGGCGATGGCGCCCTTGTCCACTGCCCGCCGAAGGACCACCCTCTCATCGGGATCGGCATCCGCCTTTTGCTCCCCTGGTGGCGCCTCCTCTTTCGTTTCACCCACCCCCTGCGTGAGTTCGGGGGGTGCGGAGTGGGTCACACTGTTGCTCTGTCGACGCTGGTGCAACGAAAACGCCGACGAGGGCGTCGCACTCAACTGCCGCATGTGCACCTCGTCGGAAACCAGCTTGTCGTCATCCATGTTGGCCAACTGCCCCTCCTCCGCGGTTCTAGAGAAAGAAAGGAGAAGGTTACACACAAATTATTTACAAAGTAAGGTCTCAGTTATCTTGGCATTTGAAAAACTTCCAAATCTCCGGAATCCCGGGGATATATATGAATATGTATTGCATTTGAAACATACGATTTTAAAAGTTGAATAAAAATACTATTATTTATTTTGAACTTTGTTTTTCACAGTGATGGATCCAGAAATTGGTTGTGGAAGGATTTCAAAACAAATTCGTAGTTGCATAATTTTTGAATGTCACATTTCCTTGTACTTTTTACCGGGTGGAGGTAATTTATCCCCCATATCGACAACACATTGAATCCGCCCATGGTTCTTAAATCACCGAGCTTTGAATTACAATCTTCACTTTGAAGTTCGAATGCCGCCTAATGAAGGTAAACATTTGGTGGCGAAAATTGAAATTTAAAATGTTGAGGAGTGTAAATTAATTGCAAGAACTGAAGAGTACAAGAACATGTGCCATGAAAAACCTTTAATTTCATTAAAGATTGTATTTTTTGTTTCTTTACTTGTTAATATATATTGAATTGATTAGAGCATTCCATACCAAAATTCCCTTTTTTCATAAGATGAATATAAAGTTGAAATTAAAATTAATTTGAGTCTCTGTGGGTGGTCCTTTAGTCCCGTTCAATGCGTCTTTGCACAAAATTCTATTGAACTAACAATAGCATTAAATGTCTTTGTAAAACCCACGGGAGCTTCCTATGAGTGACTGAATTAATTGCTATTTATTGTGTTATTGTTTCTTGCGAAAGACAAAATTGATTTTTATTGTATTTATATGAAAACCGTGTACATTTAATTACCTTACATTGTGCGATTTTAATAATTATATCTTATTATCAAGAAGAATGAGGTTTTAAATTATTTTGGAGTCCAGCTTAGAATTCTCTTTAATTATGACACAAGTTACTTTCATTGGGAAAAGCTTTCAATGAAATTGTAATTTATGTGCCTAAATTTCAGGCTGGAGTCCTGTTTATTTGATTATTATTTATTGCAATGCCATTAAAGCGAAAATCGAAATCGGTCAAATTAAATTACACGATTTGTGGCATTTGAATAATTCTTTGATTTCTGTAATTTATTTTGCGAGAATTTGTCAGTAAGAGCCTTTAAATTTCGAAGATTATAAGAGCTTCTGAATAATTCTGGGTTTATTGAGTTGTTGTTTTTGTTTTCCGCTGATAACAGACCGGATATATATATATACCCTATGCCTTATGTCAGCTTATTTGATGTTAAATTCCCGATGCCGCAGCGGAAACGCAAAATGGGAACTCAAGGCAGCACGACAACAGTGGAAAATGGAAAATGGCGCGTTGATGTCGTTGTCATTATTCAAATTAGCAGTGAAACACTCACACACACGACTGCACAAACACACGTGAAGGCACGCGCACATACACACACGCATTCCCCTGCAAACGTAGCACACTTTTCAGGGAAAGTAAATTTAAATCTAGCCAAAGGAACTTGGCAAAAAAAGGAAATACCAATAAGTCGAGGGGTCAACTAAGCCACGTTGGGATGCCCATGGAGGATACACTCAAAAAAAAAACAGCCCGAAATCGCCATTAAATCAAGAAATTCGCCATGAATTTCAGTCGATGGCGATTTACCGTATTTTTTAGAAAGGAATTTTCTAAAATTTAGAAAAAAATTTCTGAAAAGCAGAAATACTTTTCTAAAATCAAGAAAAATTGCCATAAAATTGCGAAAAATTTCCTTAAATCCAGAAAGTACTTTTCTTGAAAATAGAATTTTTTTTCTTAAAATAAGAAAGGACTTTTTTTATTTTCAGAAAATTTTCTTTATTTTAATAAAATGTATACATATTTATTTTACTATTTTATTTCCTAAACAAGAAAGAGAAAAGAAAATGAAAAAGATGAAAAGAAAATTATTAATATTTCCTAAACAAAAAAGGAAAACAAAACAAAAAATATAAAAAAAACAAAAAAAGATAAAAACAAGAGAGAACGCTATAGTCGGGTGCCCCGACTATCAGATACCCGTTACTCAGCTAAAGGGAGTGCGAAAGAGATGGAGAAAAACTTTGATCCGCCGTAACTTTTTAACGAATGGTCCGATTTAAAAAATTTCTTCTACATTTCGATAGGTACTGATAAACACAATAAAACTGCATTTTTACTTTTCCAAAATATTGAAATTTTTAAAATCGTATATAAGCGATTGTGGGCGTTAGAGGGGGCGTGGCACCTTTTTAAAACAAACTTGCGCTGCGTAGGAACTCCTAGAATCTGCATGCAAAATGCCAATCTTCTAGCTTCTATAGTTTCCGAGATCTCAGCGTTCATACGGACAGACGGACAGACAGACAGACAGACAGACAGACGGACAGACGGACAGACGGACATGGCTAGATCGACTCGGCTAGTGATCCCGATCAAGAATATATATAGTTTATAGGGTCGGAAACGCTTCCTTCTACCTGTTACATACTTTTGCACGAATCTAATATACCCTTTTACTCTACGAGTAACGGGTATAATGACATTATAAATATTTCCTAAACAAAAAAGAGAAAAGAAAACAAAAAAGATAAAATATTATTAATATTAATATTAAGTAGGTATTTAATATATTACCTATTATTAAAATTTACTTACTTACTGCCAAATTATCAACAATACCTGAAATTAAAATTATTCCTGCAATCGAAAATAAAAATTAATATTAGAGAAGGATGGTATTTGCGGCCTGCAATAGTATGCCCTTTGCTTACCATAAATTTTCACACACTTACCAAATTTATATTTAAATTTATTTAAATTGCTTACCTATTAATTGCCTCTTAGAGGGATCGCCCTTTAACTTTCTTAAATAGGCTCAACACAAACTTATTACTTGCAATGCTCATCCAAAACTGAGCACAAGGGTTCAAAATGCAGCGCAACACAAGCAACTCTCTCGCGAGAGACTGCATTTCCAAAACAACAACGCAATAAAAGTTACAGCTACGCGCAAGAAAATTCTCGATCATACGCACAAACACACATAAACATATACATACATACGCCAAAAACTGTCGTCGCAACGCGCCGCGGTCTAACCCCTTGTCTTCTTCTTTTTCGTTTCGAAGAAAGAGTGAGAAGCATAAAAGAAATACAAAAAGTTTTTCTTAAATCTATGGTGATTTTCTAATTCTACTTTTCTGTTTTCAAGAAAATTTTTTTTTTTAATTCAGAAAAATTTCTAAAATTTAGAACAATTTACCGTATTTTTTATGGCGACTTTCTAGATTCTAGGAAGGGCTGAAGTACATTTTTTCTTAATTTAATGGCGAAATCGCCATTAATTTAAAAAAACTTTTGGAGAGCAAATTAGGAAAAAACACCATTGATTTAAGAAAAAAAATCATTTTTCTAAATTTTAGAAAGGTTTTTCATAAAATTCTGTTTTTATGGTCTTTTTTCCTAGATTCAAGAAAACAATTTCTAAAATTCAGAAAATTTTCTAAAATTAAGAAAAAATTTCATTTTATGGCGATTTTCTAAAATTTAGGAAAAAAAATTTTTTGAGTGTATCCATGTCATTGCGTACACATATCGATTAAGTGTCATTGATATTGATGAAGAAAACAAACATTGCTTTTTATCATGCGTTAATAAAGTCATTTTTGGATAGACTTATTTTATATGGCCTATAAAAATATATGGTGAAATGTATAGTTTATTTCTTGGTCATTCGAACTTAAATTAAATGCTGGATTTAATGCATATATACCAATCTTTAGTAATATTTTTCTTCTATTTTAATTATTATTATTTCATAATTTGTATTTATCTTAATACGATCCATTCATTGGTTGCATGGCCGTCATTATCAAATTGATGTCAAGTGTTATCGGCCCAAAGGAACCTGGTGTATTTTCGGATTGCCTGCGCCAGACAGCGTGGATTATATTTACCATATTTACTCGCCTAATCAATGTGCATCAGTACCTAGTATCTCTCCCCTAATCTCTGCTCTCTCATTGATACCTACTCTTTTTCCCTATAAAATAATCGTTATCACTTATGGGAAGTAAATGCGTTATTAGGCAAATTCAAACTCCGATTTATTGTGTGCCCAGGTATAGGTTAAGTTAAAACTCAATAAATATTGGATAACTCCCACGTTAGGTGGAATTTTCCGCCATGCGTAAAAAACAATCAATTTTCACATCAATTGGCATCGCGAGATCGCGAGTTCAAGTGTAATTTTCAGGCTGTAAAGATGCGGATTTTAGCACCTTAGCACTGAGGCAACCAACCGTGGAGCATTTAGCATATAGGCAGATGCTTCGATTTATATTTACGCACCTGTAAGGTTTGGTCCAATAGAGGACGGTATCACATGCCCGATCGATCACCGCGGATTATGTTCCGTTTCACTGATTAACACATTGTCAGAGCGATTGCACTACTTTTCCCGGCCGAAGTTGTTCGATGAGTAATCCCCAAAGAAGAAAATCGGGCAACTGAACCAATCCGAACCAATTCGAGTCGAGTGGAGTTTATCGCCAGCGATGGCGAGAGATAAACTTCTAATATAATTATCGCGTATATAAATGTGTTGATAATGGCGCAACAATATTCAAAATACAAAATCGATAAATCGAACGCGGTGGAGTGGGCAGGGTCTCCTCGCCCATCGTTGTCACTTTCGACGAATATGTAAATATGGAACCTATTCAGTGAATCACTGAACCACGGAACTTTGCACTTTTCACCGCTTTTTGACTCGTCGTCATATGTACTATGCAAATGTTGATCTATACTGGGTATACATATAGACATATGTTAGGTGCGACTGCTCAACAGGTTTTCTGTTTATTATTATTATTATTATTATTATATTTGCTGCCGCCAGCGGCTTGCTTTGGTTAAATACTATTTTTTTCGCGTCTTTCACATCGGACTGGCGTTTGACAACTGAGCGAGAAAAAATCGCCATCGCCGGGATATAATATGATACTGTCAAGCATTTTTTTTTTTGGTATTGGGTTCTCTTCCCATATTCTCCACATTTCTCTCTTTCTCTCGGCAGTGACGGCAAGTGAAATCAGTTTTGGTCAACAATGTTGCTGATATGGTAATTGACTCCAGTTCGCCCGGTTGACTTGCCCGCGAGAATGATAATGACAATTATGATGGGGTCCTAAATGATAATCAACGATTGATGGCTATATCTTTGGCGGGAATGGTCTGCTAAAGGGCTTTTAGAAATTTTTCCGGGTTATTAAATAATCTAGCCTTTTACTGGCAATAATCTGTAAGGCCTTTAAATTTATTACGCCAGCTTATCTTATATTTTTTTAAGTATTAAATTTTATTATTTCTAAGAAAAAATAAATGAACTTTTTGTCTTTAACAAAACACATCAATTTTATTAATTTTGATATGTGTTTTTTTTGTAGCCAAAAGAAAAAAAAATAAGGATAGCATCCCCTTTGGAATTTTTTAAATTTTTATTATATTTTGTCATCTAGCATTCAAGTGAAATTCCATTTTTAGCTTGGGGCAAGTACAAACATTTTAATTAAAGTGTCCCCAGCATAAGCATATTTCGAATTTCCTGATATTTCGCTACGTAAAAATTCAAAGCTTATTTTGTAAAAAAAAAACAAGGCTTATTGCTTCTCTAGTTTTTTTTTTTGAAATTCTGTGTTTCCCATATTTTTGCGAATTTTCTGCTAAGTTTTTGAGGTGTGTTTGTGAACGGCCAGTGTTCAGATATGAAATGTCAAAGGCATGTCTGCAATGCCGGCTCTTATTTATTTAGACAAACAGTGGGGATAGTTTCAAGTCGCCAATCAGCCATTCCAGCCACCCACTTTCGGCCCAAAGGGCTGGGAAATCCAAGGACGAAAGGTGAGGGGGTAGGGCAGTAGTCAGTCCTTTTTATGAGCTTTTGTTGGCTTGTTGAATTTATGGCCATAAGAAACTTGTTAAAGCACATTATTGGGTGTGTAACAAGTGTGTTAGTGTGTGTGTGTGTGAGTGGGTGGGTTTGTTTGCTTTTGGTGCTGCGACTTTCAAGTTGCAGACTCAGAAAAAGGGGGTGGGCGGAAAAAGGGGGTTTTAGGCGGCAGCTGCTAAGCTAAGTAGATTAAAGTCATATTTACACGTCTTTTCTATATGTGTGCGCACCGAGAAAAAATATCAGATTATTTATTTAACAATTTTTAAAATGATTAAAAATAAAAATTTGAATCAGTAAATTATTATTTAAATTCTTTATTTATTAGAATATTTTTTCTATATTTTTAAGACTGCTTTTAAGACTCTTTGTAAATATTATAAATATTTTCTCAGTGCAAGAGTGTCTCTGCGGTTGTGTTTGAGTTTGTGCTCTGCGTTAAGTGGCAGCAATTAACACTTGACATATTTATGCTTAACCCGAGGGCCGCAACGGGCGGTTCCCATGCATTATTGTCATGCCCCGGTGGCACCAAAACACCAACAACACCACCAACTACTTGCCAAGGTTGAGCCATCGATATGGCCAGAACAACAGCACCGGCTACAACAACTATATCAGGGATGTCTGGCAAGCTGCTTAGCTTATTTATTAAGCGTTTAAGCCCTTCCAAGGGGGCGGGACCATACATCCGGAAGGGGCGTGGCTATCATTCAGCTTTCCCCATGGTTCAAGTGCGGCAAATATTTATACATAATTAGTTGAAGCTTGCCTGTATAAAATTCCTAAGGAGGATATTAAATCTGAACTATTTGAGGGGTTAATTAGTTGAAGGATTTATTGGTTTTAGGTTCAACATTATTTTGAAAACGTATTTAAATAGGTTAAAGTCTAAATGACATTTAAAAAAGAGCAGTTTTAAAATTAGTAATAGATTAAAAATTCATTTTTAAAACAAATAAATTTAAATGGCCAACAGACCAAGAAAAAATGAAGAAAAATAAAATGAATAAATAAATTCAAATAAACATACAACATTAAATTGCTTGATTCGAAGAAGCTCCATTTAATCCATAGAAAGATAGAAAGCAATCGATGATACTGCAATTACCCCCATAACTGTCTCCCAAGCGGGGCCATAAAATCAATTAAAGCAAGCTATGAGCATAATTTTATTGGTAATTAATTTCCGGCACAGGTCAGGAAATGGCAACCATCAGAATGACAGCGAAACAGGCCAAAACAAACGCAGCAGGTGGCCAATTCACCAGTTTACCGCAAGGGGAATCAGCCAACGGCCATCTGTGTTATGGATATGGCCATGTCTTTGGCAACTTCATTTGGCTAAGAGTCCTGGCCCATAAAGGACCCTTCGGGCAGACAGACAGACACCTATATATCCTCTGTATATATGTTTGTATGTGAGTGTGCTGGATTTGGGTTAATGTCGACATTGGTCAACATGGGCGTGCAATTGAAAGCGAGCAACAAAGCAGAAAATAGAAAAATTACTCAGCGGCTCAGTTTGGGTCGGACAACAAAAAAAGGAGTGAAGAAACCCATAAAAAAAGGACAAAGGGCAGGGTAAGAACAAGTTTTTCCAGACACAGAAAAAATATAATATCAAGTAGGGATTAATGTGAAATTAAAGTAGTAGTTGGTTTATTTTAATAAATTCGTTTGCTTTTTCTTATTGCACTTATATTTCTAAATTGTAATTAAAAACCAACTTTTTTATGAAAATTATTCCCAAACAATATTTTTGATTTATAATGTAGGAATATAATTTTTTTGTCAGTGCACTTAGAATCAGCAGGAAGAAAGGGATATCGAACATGTTTGGGTATCAATCAGAGTTGGACTGCGAATAAATTCGCCCATTGTGGGCACAGAACCTCAGCTGGTGCTTCTTGACGGTTCTTTAAAATACCATTATTATTAGATTTTCTCTTGCTCGTCCTTGTTACGCATTATTATGCAGAAAATGCGCTTAGCAAACCCACGGCTTTGATGTCCTTTTGCCGCTTTGTGGTCCGAATCAAAGCATTTTTTATTTGACGGCTGCCTCTGATTTGGGTAAACACACTCAAAATCAAAAGCAATCAGGACAGAACAGCTTCGGTGGCAAAAGAAAAAGGCAATAAGCCGTGTAAGTGGCCACTTTTAAAGGCAGCAATCAAGTTAGCAAGTATTCGAAGGCCATTAAAATTGACAAATCGCTGGGAGACCCGGCAACTCAAACCTCGAATCCCTATTCTAAAGAACATGGTAAGACAAGTACTCTTGACTTTGGCCAAAGAAATCTCTCAGACTCGTAAAAGTTGCCAGGACATGGCTATTTATGTTTATGGCTTACTAATTAGCTTTAGTCGCTGCAGCAAAAGTTTTCCCCGCATTAAAAGTCGCGCTATGTATTTTCCACTTTTCTCTACTTTTGAAAACCTGTCCCGGCCTCATTGTTTGCCATTAAAATTCACATTTTATAGCAGATTCGGTTGACTTTTACCTAGTTTCTGCGTTGTGTCGCCTGCGACAGAATTTTCCCTTCTTCCCCCGCCTTTCGATTCCGGCGTTTGTTTACTACGAGTGAAAAGAAAATTTGCATAGAAAAAGAAATTTGCATAGCATTAAGCAGACGTTTCGAGTTGTCCCGACATCTACAGCTGCTGCTCTCTGAGGTTGAACCATCGCATCGAGTTCGACAGGAAAACGGGACGAAATATTAAATTTATGACCAGTAAGTTATGTTTACTTTGCGGGGCTTCCCCAGTCAGTTCCATTTAAGTGTTACTAAGGCGCAGGGCTCAACTCACAGCAATTAAAGCCGTTTAATCGCACGACTTTAGATTTTATTCCTTCATTATTTGCCTCGTTTTATGGCCAAGCCTGCAATTATTCCCCATAATGATTGGGGAAGTTCCACCCTTCCTTGCAAAATGTATTTAAAACTGGGCTATGATGTAATTAAACTGGCATAACTCGATTAAGTCACGAGCGAGCAGTCCTTTATGGTCCTTGCTTTTTATATCAAAGTGAGTGAATTGTCAGTGGCCACGGGGCGTATGTGCAATTTCCCAGGTTCCCAATTGGCCAGGGAATTTCATTTTTCAGCTGACTAAATTTCCTGGCTTTTTCACACACTCATTTGCTGATACTTAAAGGTGAAGAACCCTCGAATAGAGAAGTCGAGTCCATTGAGCTTTTGCTTCCACTGAAGACAGCATCTTTGTCAGACGCGTCGTCTGTTGCCATTTATAAAGCATAATTGAAATATGAGATTGACATTGAATACCAGTGGCTTTGTTGCTATTGCCGCCTTTTGTTCCCGGGCTTTCATCGGATACAATTCCACTGGCAATGCGACACATTGTCGGGGGACCCATTTAATTGATTATTGTAAATAGAAGTTGAGCGAAATTGGCGCCTCTCTCGAGCTACAGTAAAACTTGTGTAAGCTAAACGTTTCAATTTAAAATAGGGAAGTGTTCGATTTTGATTGAAGTGATTAAAATATTGTCTTTTCAACTGTAATTCGCAATGTTATTCAAAAAGAAAATAGAAAATATTATTTCTAATAAATTTTGTTAGGTGTTATAAATAAATAAAGAGAATAATTTATTGCAATTATTTATTGGAATCACGTTTTAGTTATTTTTAAAAAGAAATTAAATTTTTGAAAGCATTATTTATATTTTTAGAATTATTAAAGTATTTTTTTTTATCAGGAACTGTTATTTATCCTTCAAATGACTTAAATTTTCCTCCGAATTTTCACCAGGCGAGGGGTATGCAATTGGAGCCACCATCGAGTATCGAAACCATTGACAGCCTTAAAGCCCCAACATTGTGCCACACTCTTGGCCAAACTGTCAACACTCACCTGAGGCAAATGCGCTCCTCCTCCTCCTCGAGCTCCACGTCCATTGTGCCAGAGGATTCTGTCTATTGCTATCGAGCAGATTTTCTCCTCTTTTTGCGGCTCTCGTCAAGTGAGAGTTTTAACTGCCAACGGCAGCGACAACGGCACTACGAATCCTTGAGGTTGACAAGAGGTTCTTTTCGCTGATGTCGAGGCTTTAAGCCACCTCAAAGTGATTTAAGCTGTTGTCAATTTGCGTAATGCCGCCATACAAACGGAAAATCGAGGCAGGAGGCAATGTCCGTTGCTGACGACCGTGTGTTTCATCCTGCCGGTGAAAGAATCCGTCGAGGAATCCGCTGCAAAATCTGTAAGCAGATAAGCGGAAAATCACATTTAGCATTCTCAATAAACTCAAGATGCTCTTTAAGTTTCGCCGGAAAGTAAAAAGCACCCACTTCTTCTTCAGACACACAGACACCAGACATTCGCGTTTAACAATGGCAGTATATAATTTAATAAATAGTTGCAGTTGACAGATTTCAAGTGGGTGTGGGTGCGACAGAGTGGCGAACACTACACGTCACCGGGTCTATAAGGCAACACACACATATGTATACGTCTTTATAGGGATGGTGACAAGTGCAAAAGTGTGCACAATAAGTGGCATAAAAAAGAAGCCAAAGGAAACAAAGGAAGTGGCATATATGCAACTATATACTGGCATCGAAAGCTATATACCCTCATGTAAGATGGTAGAAACTTGCAAATATTATAAAGAAATTTAAAAACATTTACGCAGAATAATTAAAAAACTCTCAAATAAATTTAAAATTATTATAAATGTTGGCCATAAAGGTATCTTTATAGTTGTAAGAAATACCTAGGAAGCTAAGAAAGTACCCTTTTAAAAAGAAATAAAGGAAATCTTCACTTTTCTCTTTCCACATAAATCAGACCCACATTCCTGGCAAAATTAAACCTAAAATACCCATGCCAGAGTCTTGACAAACAAAATAAGCCAGGGAATGGTAAAATCGGTGCACTCAGTCATATTGGTTTGTGTATGTTAGTCGCGCTTACTTTGCCATTTAAACTGTCGCCTTTTGGAGTGAGTGTGAGGGTGAGTGTCCGCTTTTGGTGCTCCTCCACATAAGGCAAACACTAGAAATGTCAAATGTTTTGCCTCAACATGTGCGCCCTGCCCAGAAGGAGCAGGATGCGGAGGGAGAGGAGCTGGATGAAAGGCAGGACAGAAGCAGCAGTCAGGCACATTTGTCCTGCTGTTGGCTGTTTTTTATGTCCTGCCCATTTCCATTGCTTATGGCACACAGGAAAAAATGTATTATACAAAATATATATTGTCAAAAAATTAAACAAATCTATCTGAAGTGTTCCTGAGCATTTTAAGTGAACAATGGATTTTTGTGGGAACATAAATGATCAATAAATATATTTTAATAAATAAGAAATTCTCCAAAATTAGCCCATGTATTTTTAAAATATCTATTTGAAAACCCGAATTTTTCCTGTGCACCACAATTGACACTGAAAGTCACTTGGAGCTTGCAACACCCAGTCGAAATTCAATCAGTGCGTGCAACTCGCGGCCACTTGGCAATGCTGTCTGTGGTTCGCCGGCTCCGCAATTGGACGATGGCGATGAGGATCCTCGAACACGCCGTTTATTATTGAGTCATAAAACACAATTTAATGCCATTAAACAGGATGCACTTACGCGCTATCGCCATCGCGTACAGGGTGTCTATTAGTCCGATGATGTGGCGTTAAGGCGGCAATTCGTCTCTGTAAATATATGTGCCAGTTATCCTGATCCCCATATGCAGAGTATGCTTTATTGCCCTCCTCGCATATTTATCGGACAGCGACTTATATATACCTATATGTTTTACGGCTCTTGTTATGATTTATATGCATCCTGTTGCGTGAGAATATTCCAGCAATTTCCTCTCCTTTCATTTCCTTTTTTTTCCCTTCTTTTCTCCTTCCTGCGCCTGACAATGTAACCAGTTTATGACGCTGCTAGCCGAGTTTCCGGTCTGTCTAACATGTGGGTGGGGTTGTGGCACTCCGCCCCTTTTAAAGCCCAGTGTTTCGGGGTCCTGCTTAAAATTGTTTTTTAAAAATATACTCTCAAAGGAGGATTCTGTGTGTGACAGTCATCAGCAGGTGTATGTCCAAACCCTCTGTCCCCCAGTAACGCTACCAAAACCCCAATATCTTTCAGGTGGCTGAGGGACCCACAAAAACACCGGGGTTTACGACACTCGAATGGCTGAGTGAGTGTGGGTTTTCGGGTGGCCGACGAAAAGTCTCATCACCAGTGGCAGTAAATTGAGTGTAAATATTCCTACGATTGTTTTGTTGCCACTGTTGCTGCAGCAGAATTGTAAAAAAAGTGCTGTGAGCTGCGTCAAAATGTCAGGCACATCGATTTATGTCGCATACTGCGAGCACTTTGTTGTTTTTGCAAACGTTACTAGGGCACTTAAAGAAATTCCTTTTTAAAAGGGTTTAATTTTAGATAAGGTATAAAAGGTATAAGGTATATATTTTAAAATTGTAATTATTAAATTTTAAAATCTATCTCTTTAATAAGTAAAAAAATAAATACCTAATCTTTACCAAAAAAAGTTTAGCTTTTTGACAGTAATGCATAACAACGACCGTAACCTCATTTTGCTTTTTTGTGTGTGTATTTTTGTCACGTGTATTTATCGTCCTGATGCTATCCCGTTTGTTTGGCCAAAACAGTTTGCGCCATCGCGCGGCTGAAAATAATTAAGTTTCTGATTCATGTCGACACCGAGGGGACAAAGGCGACTCAACTACTCATCTTTCTCAAAAGGGCAGCGAGGTGCTGCTGTCGAGGACATGCAGCTTGCAACTTGCGATTCGCCCGAACCCGGGGTCCTTTGCTCCTTTGGCCGCTTGCCACACTCTCGCATTAAGCCAGCGATTTATGTTGCATGAAAGGAGCGATGAACAAACAAACGGACCACAGATCCTGCAATCCGAGTGGTCCTTTCCTTTGTTTATCCTGCAGCCAAGTGCAGCCTCTCCTCGCCTCCTCCGAACCCCCGCTCATGAATAAGCGTTTACTGGACCGGTTAGCCGGCTTGCAGTTCCAGTTACTGGCCCAGTTACAGGGCAATTATGCGCTTCTTAAAAATAAATTAATGACCGACTGGCAATACTGAGAAACCGGAGCGAAAGGCAGAGCAGCGACTGAAACAATGGAAAACGGACACTCTACTCCCGCAGGTGAACTCCACTCCACCGGACCCTTTTAATTAATTAAACGGCAAAGAGTCTTTGATAAGCCCCAGCTAACAGGGACTAACTTTTTACGATCGCCGCGGGACAGATTGTAAAATATTTTTTTGAGTTTTAATTAGTGCGATTACTAGCCATTAGATTTTTACTATGGAATTTTAAAGTCTTACGAATATTTATAAATAAATTAAACTAAATGCAGTTTTAAACTATTAAATTTTTATATTTCATAGGACTTTTTTTTTAAATATTCTCTATTTAAAAATAATTTAAAATCATTTCTGAATCAAATTCCATGTTAACCACCCGCAAAAGCTGAACTTTTTTTGCATTTATGAATAATTGGAAATTTAAAAATACATTTCGTAGTTTTAAGCTAGTTGCTGATTCCCTCTGTGCTGCATTTTGATTTATTTTAATAACATGCAACCGAATCAACTCCCGACTTCAGTCACACACGGCGGATGCGCAACTTAATTGGCTGGCCGTCCAAAAATCGTTGCCTACTTTCAGGCGGCGCCATTTTTATTTCTAGCGTCCATTTTAATGACCTTTTTGAAATTGACGAATAAATATGGAATGAGGCAAACATAATTTATTATTTAATGCGTTTCAGTTTTAATTTCATGCGTCCGCTGTCAGTGCGTGCAACGGTGTATTTAATTGAATTGAAAAACGAATATTGCACGTGCATAAATTGAATCAGTGCCCCGGAATTGAGTAAGTTTTTGCGCGAGGGCGTGAGGCAGAAACTGCGGACAGGTGTCGACCAAAATGGTGTGTGTTTATGCTTTTACCAAAAACATTTTCACATCTACCACCGGGCAATTTATTTTAATTTCCCACAAAATGTCTGCTAATCATGGCATTCGCTCGTTTACATTATGCGCTCGGTTTTCCCTTTCAGTTTTTGTGCGGCATGTGCATGTTGTTTTTGTTGCATGCATTAGCTGCAACTGCATATTACATGAGTTGCCACAGGAATGCTTTCACCACTGCACTTTGGGATTTTACATTTTATGTTGGTCATCGTCAATGAAAGCTAAAGATTCCTGCTCGCAGATAAAGCGGCAACATTAATGACTGAACCTCATCAGCGGGAGCTAATAAATCATTTGCTTTAGTATGATCCAATCATGATTTTAATATACGAATATAAATATAAAATGTTTGTATTTACTTCCGACTTGACTGGCAAACGACACAATAAACGAAGCGGAAATAAAATTCGTATCCTGCCAAATTGTTTACACAAAAAAAAAGAAAGACCTTCTCTTTTTATGAACCACTGGCTCACAAAAGGGGTAACACCTGCCCTCGGATGGGGAATATTAAACTTTAATTCCACAACAAAGCCGTAAAAATGAAACGGGAAACATATAGCCCCCAGGCCACATCAAACGCATCGCACTAAGCCGGCCGGGCTCACTTTGTCTCCTGTTTTTGCACCGAAAAAAAAGAATAGTAGTTGTATATGAGTTTTTGAATTTCAGCCGAAAAATGAAAAGGATGAGAAGCGCAATAGTGGTAAATATCTTCAAAGCTCGCTGTAAAAATAATATATAAAATATTAAAGAAACATAAATAAAGCAATATAAATTAGTTACTTATAGAGTGAAAAGTAATTTTGTTATGAAATATTAAAAAAAAAACTAAGAATATTTTAGATGTTATATTAATTTAAAAATGTAAACATTGTGTAGATATCATGTAGATATTTTCGTCTGTGTGATTGCCCTCTTTCCACCCCTGAACTCATGTAAGCTAATAACCCCTTTGCTCTTCGAAAATGCCGCTTTGCAATGTAAAATATTTGAAAATAAAATATTCCCTTCGTTTCGTTTTTGCCGGGGCCAAAAGCAAATATGAGAGGACAAGAAGGGCCAACGACAAACTCGCAAAAATGTTGCATAAATTAAGCGGAGAACAAACGCTGGAAAATTGGCAGAGAGTGGGTATTTAGAAGGGGGTTCCTCTGGACCATAAGCAATTGCCTTGACTCTGACTTTGAGTGACGTTGAAGCGTGTCT